CTACCAGAAACTTTACGGATTCCTACCAGAAACTTTCTGGATTCCTACCAGAAACTTTACGGATTCCTACCAGAAACTTTACGGATTCATACCAGAAACTTTCCGGATTCATACTTGAAAACTAGATACGGATTCATATCAGAAACTTTCCGGATTCATACTTGAAAACTAGATACAGATTCATACCAGAAACTTTCCGGATTCATACTTGAAAACTAGATACGGATTCATACCAGAAACTTTCCGGATTCATACTTGAAAACTAGATACGGATTCATACCAGAAACTTTCCGGATTCATACCAGAAACTTCCCGAGAATGGAGAGGCCTGTAATTTTTAACAACTAAAGATTATTTTTAAGTTTAATAAAATTGCCCTATTTACTGGTTAGCTTGATAATTAATTCTCAATTTTTTTATTATATTCTGAAACCTACCTTGCATCAGGCTCAATACTGACAAATGGTTTTATCTTCTCTTTCAGAACATCTGTCATAAAAAAAAAAACATGTAATACCAGATATAATTGAGGTAATTACACTAATACCGGAGTAAAACTGATGTTTATTGATTATTCAAGCTTCCGTATATTAAATGTAACATATATAATGTACTGTGTATGTTTGGAAAATCAATAACAAAATATATAAGCCACACTTATTATCAAGAAGACTCGTTTTAACTTTCGCGTGTCCATTCGGTGTTAATTTAGCTTCTTTGATTTCATGAACTTACGTGGTACCTAAGATAGTTGCATTTTTAACTTTTATTATATGAATTTTCTTACCAGGTCGCTGAAAATTACAATATCTACCATACATTAACAATACTGGCTCAAGTTTAATGCCAGTAAAAAAAATACATACGGTACAGCTATAGGCATAAGAAGCCAACCACAATTTAAAATCTTACTCCTGCAATATGAAAGTATTTATATTGAGTAATTTGGTTTTGGATGTACAACAGAATGTCAGATCACTTTCCACCACACTAAACACCAGGCTCCACTTAAACACCACTTAAAATAGGACTAGCTTATTCACTAACATACAAAAAAGTGTTTTTTTATTGTAGTTTATCAGCAACAGTAAGAACCTGTCATGAACCAACAATACACATTACCTTGATATACAGAGAACCATAGTTTTTATCTCAACTCTGTAACCTGTAAGTAACATGGCAAAAAAAGTCATTAAATGGAGTGTAATATCATACACACGCACGATCTTTAGTTTTATTTTTCATAAGTAGGCCTAGCATATATCAGTTCATTTCTGAAAATAATAAAATTAAAGCAATACAAAATCTACCTACCTCTCCATGTCTCTAGTTTGTGTTCTTCTAATTCCTCCATCCTTACCTGTAAACAAAAGAAATTAATCTTCTCCTTATTTCTTAACATTAAAAACATAATAATAATAAAGTACAAATACAAGCGAAACATTTTATAAATAAAACATAACATTAATGTTCTATAACATTAATTTATAATTATTTTAACACTTTAAAGCAATGATTCTTACAGAAGCTTCTTCGCTAATGTACAAACTTGAAACTGATTCTGAAAGATAAAAATTATTGAAGTCAGAAAAATGAATTATAGCACTTAAATTTATAATTTTTATGAAATTACGCAAGCAGTGTTGATAACATCTACCACAAATCGCAGTCACAATACTACTAAACAACTTACCAAAGGTGACTTGTAGTAAGTCCTGAGAATGTGGATAAAGTCTGTAATGGTTAAAATACCTGAAAACAAATGCTGAAGATCAGTGGAAACTACCTACACATCCCAACAGACTTAAAACTGTTCATACAAACTTTACAAAACTAACAGTATTCTTCTTTCTACAAACCAATCAGTTTCATTTTTTAATAGTACATTTTGAAATGGTTCTCATCTCTCCTTTTGCTTAAAAATAACTGGCTAAAAATGTATAATCTGAAAAATTAAGATACAAATTTAGGTTTTTTTTAGAGGTTGCTGGGAAAATACTGTTTCTTTATAATAATCTAATGTGCAGACATTAAACAAAATAGAATTAATTACTGAAAAGAACCAGCGTGCAGATACTTATTCTATCAGTTCTTACACAAAAGATAATAGTAGTTTATCCTGGAGAATTAACATTATAGTGAAAAATAGTATTTACATCATCAAAATAACAAATACTTAAAAAATAATTCACAATAACAGAAATTTAAAATTAATCAAGCAGAAAAGAAAAAAGAAGAAAGAGGTTGATGTGGAAAGGTGGCCTAACATTAAGTGTTTGATTCCTTTGGAGCAAAGAAAAGGAAAACTATTGGTTATTGTAAAAATGAAAACTACACAATATACGATTAACTTCCCCACTTTTAATTAAATGATAGGAGAAAGATGAAAGTCGGGAAATTTAGTAAAACTGAAAATGAAGTGTTTAGTACAAACAGTGTATGGTATACCCCATTTTTCACGGGATGTTGGTATAAACAGCCTAAGGGTATACCCTGATTTTCACGGGATGTTGGTATAAACAGCTAGTGTATACCCTGATTTTCACGGGATGTTGGTATAAACAGTCTAGGGTATACCCTGATTTTCACAGGATGTTGGTACAAACAGCCTAATGTATACCTCAATATTTAAGGGATGTAGCCATCCTTCATTTTTTTTTTAACCTAAGTAAAGAGAAATAATTTGTTAAATATTGTTCCACTTACCCACAAATTCCTGCTGACTACTGTCCCACAGAGGTGCAGCTCGGACTCCTAAAATACAAAACTTAGTAAATACTTCCTTTATCAAACTAATTCATTAAAAATCTACTAAATCTCAAATATTATTTAGAAAATAAATTAATTATCAATGAATAATGAAGAATATAGCCTTATAAATGAAAACTCTGTAACAAATCATGTACAATCTGTTACAAAATAATATACAATAAATAAGTTATAGACTCAACTTATTTTAATTAGTATCTAGTAACTTTTCACAATTACAAAGTTATGATTTTTTTATAACCTTTTGGCAGTACTTTTTAACCAACATGTCACATCTTTTACTCTCGAAGTCATACAGTTTCCAAGAAAATGCTGGGTATTGGAATATAAAAACTGATCTTCCAGAAATTATGATGTTAATTGTTTCTAAAGTGAGGAATATAATCAAAAATAAGGCTTTGTATTTCCTGATAACACACTATATAAACCTCTAAGATGCTAAGCCTAAGTTTGGTAGTATCTGTCACAAAATGTTTAACCTATCACAGCACAGAATATAAAGAGGTATGTTATATATTTCACTGCTAATTCCCTTAAGTCACCTCTGTTGTATGTATCACGTATATTAAAGTTGAATTTGTTATGTACATGTGCTACTGTTTGAGCTTTCCAAGTATAAAAACCAGACAGAAGTAGAACCATGTGACAATGATATAAATCTTGTATTTAGTTATTAAAGTACTTGCGTAGCACTTTGTCAGTCTGATGATGATGTTCATCATAGTTTGAACTATTAACACTCAGGGCTGCGACTCTTGAGAAATGTACGAATGTGCACTACAGCTAAGTACTACACACAACCGTGTAGTACAGCTAAGTACTACATACAACCGTGTAGTGCAGCTAGTACTACATACAACCGTGTAGTGCAGCTAGTACTACATACAATCATGCACTACAGCTAAGTACTACATATAACTATGTAATTCAGCTAAGTACTGCATACAATTGTGTAGTACAGCTTGTACTGCATACAATTGTGTATTCCAGCTTGTACTACATACAATTGTGTATTCCAGCTAAGTACTACATATAACCGTGCACTACAGCTAAGCACTACATACAACCGTGCACTACAGCTAAGCACTACATACAACCGTGCACTACAGCTAAGCACTACATACAACCGTGCACTACAGCTAAGCACTACATACAACCGTGCACTACAGCTAGTACTACATACAACCATGCACTACAGCTTGTACTACATTGAGACTCCAATAAGTTTAGTAAGGCTGATGAAAACAATAAAGCACTCCCACTACACCATCACTGCTGAAGAAAAATCAAATTTATGTCACCGATACCAGGTTCTAAAAATTGCAAACTCTTCAGAACTTTTAAAATATTAAATTTAAACTTACCATTGTGAACAAGGGCAAAAAAGGCTTTTTTTACCTATAAATGAAATATAAGAAATGTCTTATTTAAAGTTTTTCCAAAACAAAATTAAAACATTCATGGTGTTTTCAAAACAACATAAGCTAAAATGACAAATAAAACAAATGTGGATAAACTGAAAAAAAATTTACAGTACTCTTCAGGATAATACTGTAAATTATCTGTATCTACAAGCGTAATTCTGTAAATTATCAGTATCTACAAGCGTAGTTCTGTAAATTATCTGTATCTACAAGCGTAATTCTGTAAATTATCTGTATCTACAGGCGTAATTCTGTAAATTATCTGTATCTACAGGCGTAATTCTGTAAATTATCTGTATCTACAGGCGTAATTCTGTAAATTATCTGTATCTACAGGCGTAATTCTGTAAATTATCTGTATCTACAGGCATAATTCTGTAAATTATCTGTATCTACAGGCATAATTCTGTAAATTATCTGTATCTACAGGCATAATTCTGTAAATTATCTGTATCTACAGGCATAATTCTGTAAATTATCTGTATCTACAGGCATAATTCTGTAAATTATCTGTATCTACAGGCATAATTCTGTAAATTATCTGTATCTACAGGCATAATTCTGTAAATTATCTGTGTCTACAAGCGTAATTCCTCGAAGTGAACATAGCGCAAATATCTCATTGTGTATCTTTGGTGAGGTAATGGTAAATTTACAAACTTGCAATGGTAAAGTCTGGGGTTCGATTCACAAGAGAACCTGCTCTACCAGGATAAAATATTTTGTAATGAACACAACTTACCAGCAATTGCGTATCAAAGACAACCAACTTGGCACTAATAGGAATAATATCATAACAGTGAAAATGTTGGAAGAACTTCAAATATATCAGATCTTCATCTTCTCCTATTAAGCAAAAAAAGGATGAATATATTTCCAAACATATAATAAACTTCCTTAATATTCTATAACTTTCCATTATTTTATCACAACCTCCTCATAAGCCCACTTCTGTATTTTCAGCTTTTTATACGCTTATAATATACAGTGCTAAATGTTCCTGTACCTAACTTTGATGTGTTGTGACATTAATAAAGACTGATGGAGAACCACATTTAACTAAATTAAACCACTTCAACAGTGTTGTTAAACAATGTACCGATACAAGTATCATACCAACTTGTATCTGTTGTATCTCAACCAGCTTGAAGAGCCCTAGTATTGGACAAAAGGCCTCATCGGCACTGGATATAGCAGACACAGGATGGTCACACAGTATACATTCTTTTTTACTTTCCCTCGGAAGCTCTTACTAAAAATGACTGACATGAAATTTTCAAAAAAAGCTAATTAAAATAGTTTTAAAAATAATGTCGAAGGAGGAACTGTTGTTCTTGTTTTTGAATTTCACGCAAAGCTACACGAGGGCTATCTGCGCTAGCCGTCCCTAATTTAGCAGTGTAAGACTAGAGGGAAGGCAGCTAGTCATCACCACCCACCACCAACTCTTGGGCTACTCTTTTTACCAACGAATAGTGGGATTGACCGTCACATTATAACGCCCCCATGGCTGAAAGGGCGAGCATGTTTGGTGGGACAGGGATTCGAACCCGCGACCCTCAGATTGCGAGTCGAGCTCCTTATCCACCTGGCCATGCCGGGCCAGGAGGAACTGACTTTTATCATTTATTTTTTGTTCTAAATCTCCAGTTTCACTGTGAGAAGGGGAAAAAAATCAGTTGTAAGTGGGTTAAAGAAAGTCTTTTGAAGGTAACGATTTCATGGAGGGGTAGGCAAGGTTAATTAACTGTAAATTAATTTGAATCGGTCTAAACATTAAATTAGATATAGCCAGATTGAATGTTGTTAACTAAGTACTTCTTTACAAGTGCACTGTGTTAGAAACGTGAAATGATAAAATTATCACAAACAACATAACACATAAAATGAGGACAGTAAACCTAACATATAAACAGCATAACTGATAAAACAAGTACAAACAATGTAATAAAAAATTAGCATAAACAATACATAAAACAAGCACAAACATCATAATAACAAAATGAGTACAAACAACGGAGCATATGAAAGGAGTATAAACAACACAACAAAAAATAACATAAAAAATGAGCACAAACAACAAAAGATAAAAAAAAACAACTTCAAAACTTACCCAAGTCTTCGATATCAATTTTATCACAAAGAGGATCATTAGAAAGCTAAAAAAAAAAAGAAAGAAAGGAATTAGGTTTCATATTACACAAATCAAGTTTTTCAAAGAAAGTCTCATCCAGAAAAATGTGTCTGAAAAAAAGGGAAAAAACTCGACTGGTAATTAAAATATCATGCTAAAGAAAACTTTATTATATGAAGTATAGTCTTAACAACAACGACCTTGAACAGATTAGCACATTCAATTCCATCTTGCATTAGTGTGTAAGACATCAATCTACCTTACCGACAAAGTTTCGTTAGCAAACACAGAGATTCTCTGTGGTTCGACTCACGTTTATGAGGCTTCTACTTTTTTGCCCTGTCTGTCCTGATATACTACTAAGTAACACGCTAAGTCTTCATATGGTACCACGCTGATGATATTAGCAAGAAATAGCATCCTCAAAAAAAGAAAACAGTCGATATAAAGGATAGGCCAAGTGACAGATCAAACTTTAATTCGCGTTGTTCATCTGGGAACAGCATTTTAAAATTCTACTAAAAGAGGTCTTCAATGATGAAACCTTGCCCAATTAAATCCAAACTTCATCTTCAAACAGGCTCAATACAGACAGAAGAAGACCCAAACTTTGCATGATGAAACTTACACGTGTCGTTTGTTTTTTTTAATGATACATTTTAAATGAAAAACTGTCAAAACTCCTAATTTATTTGATGTATTATAATTCAAGAAAATTGAACCTACTTTAAGTGGCCTGACATAAAGTTATAACTTAGAAACTACTAGCAAACAAATCCCGATCAGGAATTGACGGCGAAGGCAGATAGATATTACATCTTTTTATAAACGTGAGAATTTCAATATTTATTGGATCATTTCTAAAGCACAGCGCCACCTATTAGAAACTTGACGAGACAGCCCAATACCTTCATATTTTATTCTGACAATTATTTACGAGAAAGCCTGCTTTGAATTTCATTTTTAAAAAACAAAACAAAAAATCACAAGTTATATTTAAAAAAAAACTGAAATACTTTGAGATCCCAGTGATTTAACCAAAAGGAAGGGAAAATTATTATATCGAAAATATAAAATACAACATTACACCAATTATTCAACGTTACATAATATCATTATAAACGTAAAATGTAAGAGTCGAAAGTATACTTAAAGTTATCTCCCTAAGCCTATTTTTCTGAATTTTAATTTCACCTTCACGATTATAAAGGGA